AAGTACATTGGGCGTACGCAAAGGCAACTGGTAGCCAGGGCCGCTGAGCACTAGCCCAACTGGCTTTTCAAGCAAGAAGACAGAGTACCACGGTCCTCTATTACCATGCATCTACTAGACAGTGCTCATTCTGTCGACATCAAAACAGCGTTTCGAGTACTTGTTTGGGCCCGAACAAATCGAATCCTGCGCTATTTGGAAGCTGCCTACATACGGTGGGAGAAACCTGACCTATGCAAGCAGTCTGACCATGTGGTCAACCTCCAATTGCCCTGGTAATTGGTCATTTAATTTAATTCCCGAATATTTTTCGTTAACTTCCCTCATCCACTACTTCTTATACTTTGACTTAACGCACTGTCCTTTATCGATTATTTTTAAAACTGAAAAACGTTCCTTGCTGCTATGTCATTAATTCTGTGAAATTCCCAACTGTTCTATGCCTCTTCGTTATCTTTCTCATGCAGCGACAAGATGCAGCTGAGAAGCTGTCGCGAAATTTATTGATAACAATAAATCCTGCCGTTTATGCCTGCTTTCAATTTGTACCGGGGAACAAATTCTTCAAATGAGTGATTCCGTATTTTTCGTAGAACATGGTGGTGGCGTTTTACGTTAAATAAAAACTAGGATGGTAATACATTTTTGATGTTCCAAGGCATTGGGAAGGAGTCGCGAGTCAGAAAGCATAGCTTCACTTGATGCGATTGCGCTATTCGTAAAGATCCCACCAAAGTGACGCGAAAACTCCCATAGATCGGACATTTCGTAGACGTCCTTGCACTCTAGCAGCAAACCCTGTACTATTTCAGCGACGAATTACGGGACCGAATGGCTACCCAGCCTAGACACACTCATACAGGAGTTAGGCTGGTGAGACGCGACCAATAAAAAGTTACGTTTACCGTTAAACCTCAATCCGCGTTGATAGACATCTTATTGCATAGAAGACAGTAAAGCCTTCTCTGGGACCAGTGGTCTATTTGTCCGAGCCCATGATCAAGGAATGAAAACAATATACAGCTCTGCCGGGAGTGACCCTGACCTCCGCCTTCGATCTGTTCGCGCAACGCGAAGTAGGCATCAGGAAGATCGATATACCTATTAATAGAGTCCGCCTGCGAGTGCCATGCCTCCTGCAGCAGGCATGAGATTCGGTTGTCCGACTGACCCAATATTCGCATGTGTTCGAATTCAAAGCCGTGCCCTGGTGTGGATGAGTGAGCGGCTATCAAAGAAGTCTTGTCATTCCGTCGCACGGTGAATTCGTGTCTGTGCAGTCTTGTGACAACCCGTTTTCCGGTTTCACCAACATAATTGGCTTGACCACAAAGACAGCCGATGCGGTAAATGACACCAGATTTTCGGTTAACGGGTATTGCGTCTTTAGGCTGCTGAGTTGCCTGCAGATTGTCGCTTCCGGTCTGTGAGCGACGCCAATCCCAAACTCGCTGGCCAGTAGAGCGAATTTTTCCGATACACCAGCAATATAAGGTATTGCTCGCCAGCGTGTTGGTTCTGGCTGCCCCGTTGGTCTTCTTATTTTTGCTCCTTGCCTGCATTTTTCGACGAAACTGCCAGGACATCCATTCCTCGTAAATACAGCAGACGGTGGCCCTCAGACGAGCATAAATGGGTCAAAAAGAAATAATCCAGAGAAAAACCATCTCGTCGAATCTGTGTGAGACCACTTAGAAGACTAAACTACAAGTAAGCAAGCATCCGGTCAGGTTAATTCTCCTGTATAGGGCTGGAGAGACATGGTCCGCGCACTCGGAAGGCATCCGTCACCTGGCAGTATCTGACCGACTGTGACGGCATATTGTACGTATGCGGCGGTGACAATGGCGTTTCCTGTGGGATAAGAGTAACGTAGGTATAGGTACACGACCGCACGATCGTCGACCACGCGACGCTTTCTCAAAGGTCGAACGTAAGACACTAAAAGAACTCAGAGCCGATAAAAACCTCGTTATCGTGCCGGCGGACAAGAGGTGGTCCACTGCTGCATTGGACAGGACAGACTGCATCCACAAAGCTCAAACTCTGTTAGACGATCGTCAGTCCTATGTCCCATGTAAACCGAACTCCATAAAAATGCTGACACGCGAGATCAGCACAACGCTGTTGGCAATGGAGAACTCAGGTGCACTTACGCCAATCGACCGACGCATGGCGAGAGCGCAAGAAACGGCCCTGGCCCGCTTCCATGGTCTCCCCAAGGTGCACAAAGAGGGCGCG